TAATACAGCACTGTAATTTTATACATTTCTTGTGAAAGAAACATTTCTTATTCAACGGCGATTAAAATTATTTATATTAATGATGTCTCCAAAGTTCAGCGAAGTTTTCGCAGAAAAATAACATCAGAAATCACGGCTGCAGTTTTCTGAGCTGTTCCGCGACGAAAACAAGCTTGAGCAATGGCGATGTCGAATGGTGCACACTCGGTAAATAATCCTACAATTTTTTGTTTATAGCGTAGTTTATACGGATTATTTTCAAAAAAAATATGCGTATTTTGGAAATGTTGAGTCGAATTAGTCTAGAATCGATTAATTTTATGGAAGAAAACCTTTCAAACAGCCGTAGTCCGTAAACTTCACACGTGTCGGGTTGTGATTGGCTGCGATTCCTACAAAATTGATTCATAAAGAACGGAACGTATCTACCGTCTTATAGGGGGATCGACTGTACTATTATAGAAATAAATTGCCATTTTAGTACTTAACTTTAAATGTTTAATTCTAAATAAGCAATTTTCCTAGTACAAACATAATATAAATAAATTATTAAATCTCTAACTGCAGTATTAATTAATAAACTCCACCTTACCTTTAAAATGCAGTCTATTTTGGATAGTTATCTAACTATCCGAAATAGACTGCATTTTAAAGGTATGGTGGAGTTTATTAATATAAATAAATTAATAGAGGAACTATTGTCATAAAATTTACATACTATATAATAATAATTAGATTCTTCTTTTCTAAGTGTATTTTCATTATAAAGCAATAGACAATACTTGCAATTACAGTAATGTCTGCTTATAACAAACCTGTACAGATTGTCATAACTTGTTCATTATATAAGATAAGAAATAAAGCAGTCTAATTTGGAAAAACTAAAGTTTAATGTCTCAAAGATAAAATGTAACAAATTATTACATAAAAAGTTGTCTGTTAAAACATCAATATATTTGCTCATGGTTACTTTAAAAATTCTGTAAGTTTTGTTCGTTGATTTTTGCTAGTTGCATAGCATTCTGTAATATACAGTTCCATCTCAGCAAAACTATTTAAAATATTTTGTGGCGTATTATGCATTTGTAAAAACTCGAACAACAATAGTGTTTTGCAAAATTTTAGAAATTGACATCATCAGAATGTTGATATCTGTATATGTTATATCGTCATCATCATCCTCATCAATTTCATTTTTTTGGAAGACACAAGCTATATCATCATCACCAGTCAAAAATTCTCTACTAACAACACTGTCATCAACCCTGACATATTCTTCAAAATCATAGTCAGAAAATCCATCTGGTAACTACAGATAGAGCATATCTTGAACACCTTCTGTTTCATCATTTGTAAGTTTACTTTTAAAAAGTTTGTTGATCGGAATGTGCTTATATTCTCGAAATTATTCTCTTAAGCATTTTCAAATTCAATCTGAATCAAAATCTTCCCCATTAGTTTGTAGAAAGCCAGCATATCAAAAACAATTTGTTTGCATTGATACAATTTGTCATGCCAAATGGATGAAGTTATTGCATCAAAAACATTTATAGAAAACAATTCTTTGCTATTATCTACAGAAGTTACCATTTTCAAAAGGAGAATTTGCTGATAGATGCTCTTTAAACTATGCTATAACCCCTTGATATAAAGGCTGCAGTTTTGATCTTGTATTGGACAGCATGAACACTAGTGTAATACAATATCCATTCTTGATGTCAAGATGCACTGGCAGTTGTCAATCAATAATAAAATTTTTTGTTTCTTTTTTTTCAGTTCTTCATCCTATTCCCACAGTTTGCCACAGAAAATGTCGGAGGTCATCCAAGTTCTTTAGTTAGATTCGTAGTTTACCAGTAGCCATGGATTTTTTGATTATTAACAATTTTCTCTTCTTTGTTCCCATCAGATTTGCTGCTAGTAGAATATTAATTCTTACTTTAGATAACTTTCCTCTTGCACAGCTTACTCATTTTAATTTTAGCATCCTATTTGGTGTAAGCTTATAAAAAAGACTTGTTTCATCTGCATTAAAGATATTACAATCTTGGAAACTTTCTCTAATGTTTGGCCACTTATTTTGCAACTAGTCTTCTATCACATCCATATTTACTGCAGCTGCTTCCCTAACATTTTTCAGCTTCCAATACTATGTCTTCTTTTAAATCTCTCAATCCAATTTCTACTGCATTTAAACTCTATACTCTTTTCCAATTTGCTTCCTAACTCTTCTACTTTTGATTGCAATATAGCACCACTAATAGTAATGTTTTTAAGTCTCTACTGAGGAAACCATTTTAACAATGATTGATCTAATTTGTCATGTGCAGATTTTCTAAGCATTTTAGTATTTCAATTATCATGTTCAAAACTAGCAAGTATTTTTTCTTTTTCCTTTCAAATGATAGCAATTGTCAATTTCGTTATATTCATTTCTTTACATAATTTGTTTTGCTTTACACTGCTTTCCAACTTTTTAATAATTTCACATCTAGTCTGTAAAGTAAATGACTTAAGATTCTGTTTTCACTGATTAGCACTTAGAGTAATCATATTTCACAGAAATGTATGCACAGTACTTCATAATTCCTACTTAGTGAATGGCAAGAGTCAATATGCCTCAAGATTATGCAGTTAGTTATTCTTTATAACTAACAGCCTTAAACAGAATTTTTCTAACCAATAACAGCATAAATTTTAAATTTTGTGATGATTTGGTTTTCAAATTCAAATTTGAAATACTCTATCTATGGTTGAAATTTTCTAGCCAATGAAAAGCATACTTTCAATTTCCAAACTTTAAATTGAAGGGAAATTGAACAAAATCATTTAACTGTTAATAACAGATGAGAAATAAAAGAAAGAGGCATTGTTTTAGGAGTCAAGAACAGATTAATCCATTTTATATTGTTTCTTATAGAAAAATTTGTTTCAGTAATAGAACAAATTGGATTTCAAACTTTTAGGAAAAAATTAATTTTGAAAACAGAGTTTTGACTGTATTGACAAAGTATTGTGTATGATGATCACATAGTGTAACTTGCTCCTTGTGAGTCCTAAATTTTTCCACTACCAAAATATTTACTTCATTGTGAATCCTTTCTAACAGCTAAGCCTTATGCAATATTACTACAGTAGAGCGTCGTTTATCTGAATCAATTGGGAACTGGGGTTGTTCAGATAACTTATTTTTCGGATAACCGATTACGTACAAAAAAATATATTAACCTATCCTATGTTGAAATTTTTTTCCATTGTATGTCGCTTCGCATTGAATTTTCATCAATATTAAGCCTAACGTAAACTTTTTAAAATAATAATCGTGGCTATTGTATCGTTAAAAATTATTTTTTTATTTTTTACAAACAAAATAAATATATTGAAAAATATAAAAACAAAAAAAATTATACTTTAGAAGTTAATATAGTATCAAAAACGTTTGATTCAGCATGACAGTCCTCAGAAAAACATCACACAAAAGTGCCAGTGCTGCCAGCTAAAACACACACACACAAAAAAAAAATATTGGATTAGCCAAAGATTGCAGTGCCACAGCACTAGTGAAAATTTAAATTTGCTGACTGGAATGCTTTCGGATAAACGACGCTCTACTGTATATTCTTATTGAAGGTGGTGATTGGGAGATAATACAATGTACCACAATACTGAATGTGCTTATATTCTCGAAATTATTCTCTTAAGCATTTCAAAGTAGCTCCCACAGATTCTGATAATTTCCATTCTTATCATCCAAGTTTGGATATGATGAAATTGATAGAATTCATAGTGGAGAAAATATGTCATTAATAGAAAAATCAAGAGTTTTCACAAGGAATTGTCTCAATGGAATCAATGCGCATTAGGCCATGTCATTACAGAGAATGTAGAAATGACTTGCATATATAAAATTAGTAATTTCTAGTTTCCACATTTGAGGCTTAGATTTAGTTTTTTTTAGCATTTTGCCACGGTGCTTTTATTTTTATTATTTCATAATGTTAATTCTTTGAAGTTATTGGTCTATCATGTAAGCTTTATCTCTATAACTATGGTATTTGGTTGAAATTCAAATTCTAGATACATAAAGCTGGCTAATTAGCCAAAAATGTTGGCATCTTTGGTTTTATCCTTAACTTCACAAACAGTTTTGTTTCCTTCAGATATATTTGTTGTGCAGTGTACATATTATTTAAAAAATTTTAATTATATTTTTATAAATTTATAAGCTAGATTAAAAAATTTAAATATTGCAATGTAATTTAACAGAATATAAGAAAAAACACTTTATTTTTTATGTTATAATGCAATTTACTACAACAGTAAACTCTTCAAAACATTATACAAATACCAATAATTGCTTTAATTAAAGAATAGAAAATAAAAACAAACATTTTTGGCTAATTTGCCATTTTTAGACTCAACAAAAAATAATTTGACCAAAAACAAATGTTTGCTTTTTTGTAATAGCTGAACTCACAAAAGTTGGAACTGTAGATCAAAAATAAAAACACGCCAATTGTACTTACTCCAGCAGACAAATTTTAATGTAAGCACAAACATTTTCAGTCACATTTAGTTGATTTATAGAATAGCTCTCTTATCTGACGAAGGGTCCTAAATGTGGCCAAAAATGTTTGTGCTTACAATAAAATTTGTCTGCTGGAGCAAGTACAACTGGTATGTTTTTGCTTTGCTTTATTTTCTGTACTTCAATTAAAGCAGTTATTTGTATATAATGTACATTTTGAAATTAAATATAATTATTTTCATCTAAAAAGTGAGATCAGTATTCAACTATGTGTGTTATTAAACATTTTAAGACTTTTAATGTCAAAATATGAAAAATATATAATCATCATGTCATCATATATAATGATCATATGATTAATTAATTTAAACATATATCAGTACAAATTCTTAAAATTATGAAATATAATGTTAAAATCAAATGTCAAGTTTCCATAATACTGTCATTTGTAAATAATTTAGATATATCTTACCTTCCTTTGTCTGAGCATTTGTTATTTGAAGATCAAAATCTGCACTTTTTCCAATTTTCTTTTGTTGCATAATAGATTTTTTCAGATCAGCAACAGATATATGTAGCCCGTCAAAAGTTACAGTATCAAAGTCCAAGCTACTCTTGAATTTATAATGAACAGACATTTCTATAACTTTTTTAAATGATCAGATTTGTATCATTAACTATTCATATTTCATTAAAACAATCTGAAATTTTTCTAGATTTCTGAATTGTTACAAAATATTTTGGGAAAACTGAAATTTCTATTTAAACAATATCTTTTAAAAACTGAGATACTTTTGGAAGTTACAATTTGTATTAAAGTATATCAAAAGTATAAAATATATCTTTAATAATAAGCTAAAGATAATAATGAATCACTTTCATTATGAAAATATTGAAAATTTTTATTAAAAAAAATTACAACTGATTATACAATTCTGATGTATTTAAATACGGCATATTTTCTATATTTTATTTGAAGTTAGTTATAATAAGAATGCAAACCTGAAAACAAAAAAGAAAAATAACAAAAATTAGAAATGTTTTCTAAATTATATTTTAATTTTATTTAAATTTTTACAAATTAAAAAATTTCAAATTATATGAATTTCATAAAGAAATGTTTTAACAAAACATAATACAATAGATTCTCTAAAATCTAAGATACAAGAATGATTTATGTAGTGTAAGTATATGCCTAGTAATCAGTAATTAAGTGTAACGTATACCTAGTAATTAGTATAAGCTATTCAGTATTTATGAATTTAATGTCGTCTCACACTAATATGTTACTCAGTATAATTTTAAATTTATTTTTCACAATGAATTTTTTGGATTTTCTTAAAATTATTTCTTCAAATGTGATTGAAATGATGATAAAATAAATTTAAAACATTATTAATTGCATTGGCTAATATTTTATGTCTTTTAAAAATTACAACTTCAATACTAATGTTTTATATTCAAAGGATCCAGCAAAAATTTATCTTATTAAAATATTTGAAAGAACCATACTAACTACAGTTAAGAAACATTAAATGATAACTTTAAAAATCTGGCAAAGTAAATATAGTGTAAAGTTCATACATTATTTCTCCTATTTGGTATTTTAAATCAAAACATCTGTTTAAAGAAAAATAATTATAATTACAAAATAATAAAAGAATTAAAATAATTTTTTGAAACCAAGTTTTTGTTCCTAAAGAAGCAATAACAATGTAATTTAAAATTAAGATAAAATAAAACTGATAAATACAGTTTATCAAAAAATTAGTTTATCAGAAAATTTTATCATTTAAATTGAATTTAAAAAACAAAACACAGTATTAAACACTAATGTGGCAATGACAGCTGAGAATGAAATAAAATAGACAGGAATAACACTATAGGCTGACACAACAAATTAGGGACATATGTCAAAAGCCACTTACATTCCTTAGGTGAAATTATTTGATTAGATGATAATTCAAATAATCAGCAATCTACTGTACTGGTAGTTATCTATACTAATATTATAAAGAGGTAATATTTGTAAATTTGGATATAGGGGTAATCTCCGAAACTATTCATCCGATTTCAAAAATTCTTTCACCAATATTTAGAATGGAACTTCAGGGTGGACATAGGCTGTATATTATTCCGTTAAATATTCATATAAATTAAAAGATATCATCTAGGGTTAAGGCTTTTATGTCCAACAGACGGCGCTACGAGTACAACGACCTAAGTTTGCTTTTCTGTGAAAATGAACTAAACCAGATCATCTTCTATCTATCTATATATATAAATAAAAATGTAATGTCCATTTGTTCCTACCGATTCCTTTGAAATTTTGACACAATGCTGCATTCAAATACGCATGTGTTTTTATATAATATACATGTTAAAATTCCTCCAACTGGGGGAGATGGACAGGATTAAGGCTTAACGTGAAGCACTTGGCTTCTATTATACTATTTTAGATGCGGTTTTTTGCATTTTTGATTGTGTTTTAATAGGGTATGTCAAGAGAATGTACACCAAGAAGGGATTTTTTGAAAAATTCCCCCCATGGGGAAGTATTATACATTTATAATACACTGCTGGTCATTAAAATTGCAACACCAGGAAGGAATGATCGTATGAATGTCAATCATATGAAAGGAAAAAGAGGTTGGGATATGCAAATGATTAGTATTTCAGTGCATTTAGACAATGCAGGAGGGACAAACGACATCTGAAGCACTGCATAAAAGAAAAGTTGTGCAGTGGATTTCTCATTCAGAAATCGCTTTGTAAGGTTGGGGTTTCATCAGAATATCGTGTTATGCCTCGAATAAGAAGAAGAAATGCTTACCAGCAAGTGTTGGAATTCGATAGAGGCAGGATCATTGCCTATCGAGAGTGTGGATTATTGTTCCGTGATATTGCCACTCGCACTGGTCGAAATCCAACCACTGTCATGCGAATATGGAATTGATGGGTTGCTGAGGGTTTTACTGAACAGCATGCAGGATCTCAATGCCCTCCTATGACTAACGCCCAAGAGGACAGACATATTGTGAGATCGGCTGTGCAAAACCGTATAACCACATCACGGACCATTAGTCAGGAAATGAGCTTGTTTGCAGCACGTCCAGTATCTGCTCGTATGGTGCGACGACGTTTGCAACAGCGTGGACTGTCAGAACGGCGACCATTACTTCGGCTTTCCTTGACAATGCAGCATAGAGAGAAACAGCGACTCTGGTGTGCCCAACGACAAAGCTAGATACAGGAGTGGCACAATGTCGTCTTTTTAGATGCGTCCCGGTTCTGCATGTAGCATTCTGATGGCCGTATACGTATCTGGAGGCTCCGAGCAGATCGCTCGTCGCCTGCTTGCATTTGATATTGGCTTAGGGGCCCTGCACCTGGTGTGATAATATGGGCAGCCATTGGGTACTTGACACACACATCTCTAGTTCGGATCGTCATCTGTTGAGACAAGTTTGTCAACAGAATTAGTTCTATTGATAAATTTATTCAGTATTTATTGTACAATACAGTAAATTACTGTGCAATAAATACCACTGTCTTTTCATTGTATTAAAGTAGGGTCTTCACTTTGTTTTAGGCTCTTCTGAATCAACACTGTATTTAATGCTTTTATTTTTCTATATGCAATCATTCTCAGTGGCATTTGAAGCATCAGAAATGAAACATTTCTTGAAAGAGTACAACACAATTTTTCTGTGATTTTTATCAAACTAGTTATGACATTATTGTAACAGATTAACAAGACTGAGCTGCCTCTTAAATATTTACTACTATTATGAATATAGGTTCAATAAAATCATTAAAATGATGCAATGAATTAGTGACAAAAAAAATAAGATGCATTGCACTAGATCACTAATTATGATGTATTGTTTATTATACAGGTAAAACTAGTTTATTATACAGGCTAAATGCATCTCAACCTAAGATTACTTTAAAAATCTAATCTCTTAAAAAAGTACACCTGTGAAGGAAAACAAAAATTCATTAAGGCCCAAAAAAAGAAGACAAATCTGCCTGAGCAAACATCTGCACACTCACAAATGAAATATAAATGTCTCCTCAGCAGATCTGCAAAAGCAGCAAAAAGCCAAGAAGCAAAGATTCAGTTAGCATGTAAAGTACTATATTATTTTTCCGACTTTTTCAACGATTATCAATACGACTGTGTGCCGGAAATAGCCATTACCTAACGGGTACTTTACACGGATTCGCATTAATGTGCCAGGCCTGGACTTTAAGCGTGCACCAAATTAAATAATGACAAAGTTAGTCAAAAACAATCCAATATTTAATAAAAATTCTAGTAATAACTATATACAAAATTTAGTAAATCAATAAGAATCAACCCAACAAACTCAAATCAATCTATTTTCTAACTTTATTCCCCTTTGGAATTTGACAAAAAATTCAAAGACTTAACTTATGTACAATAATTCTTATGAATTAAAGGTCCTAATCATCACCCCAATATACTAGGAACCTTTTTCCTCAACTTTCAAGACTTTCTCTCATCTTTGATCCACAAATCGAATAACTTCAAAATCGCCTTGGAACTACTTTATCCTATTGGACACCTCTCTATCTCGTTTGCTGATACAAAGCTCACCACACTCATCTTCACTTAAGGTTCGGTCTTTATACTGTGAGGTGATGTCACAATTCTGAGTGACATCACTCCCCTCATTTACTTACTTATTACTAACAATAAACTTTTCCTGTTTGCCTGGCAGCCTATTTTATGACAATACACTCTAATCTTTTACATTATTCTTTTTGGCAATTCTTGGGATGTTTTATTCTTTAAGATTTAGCAAGTTCCTAAGTTGTGGGGTCTCCCCTCCTTTCCTCGGTGCGGACTTACTTTTTTCCGCTTGGGAGCGCAAGTGTGCGTGAGTTTTATCTACGGCGCTTTTCTCTCGTCGGTGAGTTGGTTTCTCTTCTATTTTTATGTTTCTAAAGTGAGTGGTGAGGAAACCTTCATCCTAACAAAACATAAGCCCCAAACAAAAATAGATTAAAAGCAAAAATAAAAATAACTAAAAATAATGCTCGGACTTGGTTCCTTACAAGCAAAGATGTTTACAAAAGTAACCAAAACCAGTCACAACAACAACCAAGAAGTGAATATGATTCTTGTCAAAAGTCAAGAAATCTTTAGTTCACCTAGAGAGCAGGTTAGGCAGAAATGTCACCTTCTATTTTAAACCAGGTATTAGTCTCCAGTGCTTAGAATGAATAGTAGTAGCCAATTCTTTGACAACATTAACAAAGTATTAGTAAAAAAGTTAAAAGTATCAAGAGCTGTTAACCAGGGGTGCACAACCTGCGGCCCACGGGCCACATACGGCCCCTTATCAATGTTTATGCGGCCCGCGGACGGTACAGGCCAAATCCCTTCTTTCGAAGTTTCTAAGTGTAGAACTTTTCCCTTTCACAAAGTCATTAGCACCCAACTGTTTTATAACTTCCCCTGAAATGAGAAATGGGGGGTTGTTCTATAAATAAGTCTATTTCTAGCTAACACTTTGTGGTTTAGATATTGAATATTTTAAGTCTAATACATAGTATTATAACGATTTTTTGAAGATTCAAATAGAATAAAATGATGTTAGAACGTCATTTCCAATGTTATCAGGAAGTTTCTATTTTGGCAGAAAATCTTCAATTTTATGCTTCAGAAAACTTGCTTATTCGTCTAAATAGCATCAAATAACAAAAATAAGTGAAAATAGTGCTGAAAAACCATGAAATTTTTTAGCATTTGTTTACATTCTAGATTCTGATTGGTATAGTCAAATTTGAATCAATCTTTTCTGAAAAGACGCTTATTTGTCAACCTAATGTCATTCAAACTAGAAAAAACTAACCAGAGTTCAAAAAGAAATGTACAAAAAGCTATAACAACCAATAATTTACAACAATATCTCTCCATAGACTAAGAATAGAAAAAAAATTTTTCGCATCAAATTTATTATTATTAAGTTGAACTAAGAAAATTAATACTGTAGTTGGAATAGAGTCATTATGACTAAAAGGAAGCTGTTTGCACTAAAATATTTTGGATTTAATAATTATTACAAACTACGTCAAGCGATAAACTTGTCAACAAAGAGGGTTGTAAAATGATTCCGTGTAGCTAGAAAGCTGCGGTTTCTTTTGTTTGAAAGAAAACAGATATATTTAGGTTATTTTAGTAGTAAATTAATTGGAACTTTTTATTTACTTTTATTTTTACATTCTTTTTTTCGTAAATTTAAAATTAAATTATTATTTTTAATTTTTATTTTATTTGAAATTTAACAGTCGTAAACTGATATATTTATGACAGAAAACAAAAAACAGATTGATTCTAGCGCCAGTTTGAAACGAGATATCGCAATTTTAATAATTATATTTAAAATATTCAGATTTTCCGCTGCACTGCATTAATCACTTTTGATTCATTTCTGAACATGGGGTAAAACTGACGGGCCATAAATATAATTTAGGTAAGAATGGTAACCACATTTATGATGGATTAGTGTCCTGCACCTGGCATGTTGACGATCTGACTCACAAATTCTGAGAAATGGTGGAGACGCCCGGACAGGAGTCGAACAAATTAAGACCTGCCTGGCCATTTGTCACGTGTGCGTAATAGTCTTCTGTCCCCACCTCTTTAGTCTTTGGTCAGAGTGGATACAGAACAAAGCACGTGGTAGTCTAGCTTGCCTTATCTCAAACACGATTCATTGCGGGCCTCAGAATTTTTGGCACAACGAGACATTGTTTTGCAGAGTGAACAGTATGGCGCCGGGCATTAAACGCAAGGTCAATTGCAAGAATCGTCAATTTCAAGAAGTGTGGACTAACAAGTACTGTTTTGTGCAACAGAACAACAGCATTGCCAAAAGAATTCAACCTGAAGCGACATCATGAAAGCCAACACAAGGATTTCCTTCTGCAAGATACGGAACGTGAACGGAAAATCGAATCGTTACGACGATCACTAATCAGTCAACAAAATATGTGTTCAAGAAACAATCTGGAGAATTGGATGCAGCTGTTGAAGCCAGCCTAGAAATATCTGCTTTAATAGCCAAGAATGGGAAACCTTTCACAGATGGCGATATGATAAAAAAGTGTCTTATCATCGCAAGTGAGAAGATGTGTCCTGAGAAGACAAAGTGTTTTCAAACAATCAGTCTTAACCGCATGACGATACAATGGAGAATCTCGGAAATTGCAGCAGACATTTCTGGCCAACTTAAAATTAATATTTTAGTTGCAAACTGTGCTTATTTTTATTTTTCCATATCATCAACGGCACAAGTGATTGTGTTTATTAGAAGTGTTTCACTAGATTTTATTGTGAATGAAGAATTTCTTGGCATGGCATCACTTTCCAGACATACAACTGGTGCTGACTTACTTACTGGTTTATTAAGCATTTGCAACAAATCAGCACTGGACTTTGACAAACTATCCAGCATTGCCACTGATGGAGCACCATCTATGGTTGGATGTGAGAATGGCATGGTCACCTTGCTGAAAAACCACCTTGGGGACAGGCAAAAAGAGTTAGTCCAGTATCATTGTATAATTCACCAACAGCAACTTTGTGCAAAGAAGCTGGGAGTTGAACATCTGCTGAAAGATGTCTATGATACTGTGAACTTAATCCGCCATCATGGACTCAACCATCGACTCTTCACATCATTTCTTGAAGAAAGAGATGCTGATTATGCTGACCTGCCCATGTATACTGAAGTTCATTGGCTGAGCAAGGCAACAGTCCTCAAGAGATTTGTGGAGCGATTGAGGCCTATTATCACTTTCCTCAAAGAACAGGGGAACACTACAAGGAATTTGGAGGGACAACGATGGCAAGTGTGATTTAGCTTTCCTTGCTGATATTACTGCTTATCTAAACAACCTTAATTTGAGATTGCAGAGAAAGATGCAATTTGTTTCTCAGTTGACAAGTAACATCAATGTATTTATGACCAAACTATCACTTTTCAAGTCCCACATGCAATCAGAGAACTTTACATACTTTCCACATTGCAAGGCCATGAAAGAGAAATACCCACATATGAAGATAGATTACTCTGACCAAGTTAACATCCTCCTTACATCATTCAATGAGAGGTTTGGTGAATTCCAGAAATACAAGATCTACCTGCAACTTTTTTCAACTCCATTTGATGTGAANGCTGTTGAAGCCAGCCTAGAAATATCTGCTTTAATAGCCAAGAATGGGAAACCTTTCACAGATGGCGATATGATAAAAAAGTGTCTTATCATCGCAAGTGAGAAGATGTGTCCTGAGAAGACAAAGTGTTTTCAAACAATCAGTCTTAACCGCATGACGATACAATGGAGAATCTCGGAAATTGCAGCAGACATTTCTGGCCAACTTAAAATTAATATTTTAGTTGCAAACTGTGCTTATTTTTATTTTTCCATATCATCAACGGCACAAGTGATTGTGTTTATTAGAAGTGTTTCACTAGATTTTATTGTGAATGAAGAATTTCTTGGCATGGCATCACTTTCCAGACATACAACTGGTGCTGACTTACTTACTGGTTTATTAAGCATTTGCAACAAATCAGCACTGGACTTTGACAAGCTATCCAGCATTGCCACTGATGGAGCACCATCTATGGTTGGATGTGAGAATGGCATGGCCACCTTGCTGAAAAACCACCTTGGGGACAGGCAAAAAGAGTTAGTCCAGTATCATTGTATAATTCACCAACAGCAACTTTGTGCAAAGAAGCTGGGAGTTGAACATCTGCTGAAAGATGTCTATGATACTGTGAACTTAATCCGCCATCATGGACTCAACCATCGACTCTTCACATCATTTCTTGAAGAAAGAGATGCTGATTATGCTGACCTGCCCATGTATACTGAAGTTCATTGGCTGAGCAAGGCAACAGTCCTCAAGAGATTTGTGGAGCGATTGAGGCCTATTATCACTTTCCTCAAAGAACAGGGGAACACTACAAGGAATTTGGAGGGACAACGATGGCAAGTGTGATTTAGCTTTCCTTGCTGATATTACTGCTTATCTAAACAACCTTAATTTGAGATTGCAGAGAAAGATGCAATTTGTTTCTCAGTTGACAAGTAACATCAATGTATTTATGACCAAACTATCACTTTTCAAGTCCCACATGCAATCAGAGAACTTTACATACTTTCCACATTGCAAGGCCATGAAAGAGAAATACCCACATATGAAGATAGATTACTCTGACCAAGTTAACATCCTCCTTACATCATTCAATGAGAGGTTTGGTGAATTCCAGAAATACAAGATCTACCTGCAACTTTTTTCAACTCCATTTGATGTGAAAGTGGAAGAT